ATTTTATAAAGAACACTTGTATTTCAGTGTGTGCCGGTGCAGTGGCGTGTTCGTCTAGGGCGGTGCGTACGGGGTTAGGTTAAAATGCGGAAGCGGATGCGGAACGGACTAGATGGGGGGGATCTGATTGGCTAGTTCTAACACCAGACATTGTTTTCTTACCATGTTTTTATGGTATCCGGTTATGGATTTGGCCAGAGCCCCTCGTCGTACCGCGCGTAAGAAGGGCTCTGGGTACGAGAATGAGCTGACTCTTGACTCGAATATAATGTTACGAACCAAACAGTAATAAAATAAGTAAACTGACGCAATAAACGGCAAGAGTAAAACAGTAAAATTGCCAGCAATTTGAGGTAATTTATTTTTAAAATTTGCTTAGCAAAACGGCAGCAAAAATGCTGCAAACAAATCACACATTCAAATTTCAAACTCTCGTTCGTGTGCCGTCAGCTGCCGCGTTATTTTCGCTGCCGACGTGTGTCAGCGTGCAATAATTTAGAAATAGACAGGGGCGAAACTAGCACTTTTAATTAGGGGCGTGTCTGGCAGAATTGCCCTGCCAAAACCAATGATGCCCTGCAGCGCCAGCGCTAATACAATACATCACTAAGCTACGTGTATACTTGAACTGCCGATGCAAATGTACATGCATACGAACTGCTTATTGTTTGCTAACTTTGCTAGCGGTAATAAGTTACTTAATAACTCTACATTCTATCATTTAAAATCTTTGATTGCCGGCCAATCGGGTTGATTCGAATTTGGGGGGGGGGGGTGCCCCCCCCAATACCCCCTCAAGTTGGTAGTCAAATTATCCCGGGCGTTCTGTGACCCCCGTCAGCGATCATATCAGATCATGTCAACGGCATCTAGTAAATTACTTAAATAACATCGCCCGAAGTTCGAAGGTTTTACTCAAAATTCCAAAGGAATTTTACAACTTTAGAAAGTGGAAATATATCCAGATACATGGGCCATCATTCCAATACCGTATTTACCATCAAAGAACAAATATGACTGGTTTAAACTGTAGTTTATTTTGTCGCCGAGCCGACGGCGCGAAGCGCCGTGCGAGGGTACTAATTCCCCCCACCTATTTACACCCGGGGAAACGAAAGCATGAGCGAAGTCTAAAGTTCATCAATCATCGCGGGCGTGGGTCACCAACGGTGTTCGAGTGTTGGGTGTGTGGCCATCCTCACTGATCTCAAAAATATGGCGGACTGTCATGAATAGCGGACGCTGATTGGTCCAATTTAAAGTTAGCATTATAACGACTGCATGACGACAGCGAAATAGCAAACATTTCTTGATTTGAAGATTGATAAATGAAACAACTAAACAACACCGTATATGAAACAACTAAACAAGACAGCATATAATTTCAGTAATATTGATTCTCTTTATTATTATAGTGAGTTTTTTAAATAAAAAAAGAAAGCAAAGTTATTTGCATGCGAGAATTTGAAATAATATTATTGCAAACTCAAAGTTTATCGATAAAGCCAATTAATTAAAGGCAGTTTAATTTTATAAAGAACACTTGTATTTCAGTGTGTGCCGGTGCAGTGGCGTGTTCGTCTAGGGCGGTGCGTACGGGGTTAGGTTAAAATGCGGAAGCGGATCGGACTAGATGGGGTTAAAATGCGGAACGGACATGGGTTATAATGCGGAACGGATATGGGGTTAAAATGCGGAACGGAATGGATTTGGGGTTAAAACGCGGAACGCCGGAACCGATTTGGGGATAAACTGCGTCATTTTAAACTTTTCCAAAAATTTTAACCACAAATTGAGTTTTTCCGCCTCATTTTTAACGTTTCTGTGTTTTCGTTTATGTTTCGTTTGCAATGGAATGCAACGTCGTAGCGCTTACTATTCCTAACATATCCTATACAACTACTTCAACTAAACTTGTGACTGAGACAATAGTCAAATGTGAAATACGGGCGTTAAAAGAGGGTGGGAAAGGGGGTATCGATCAAGTTTCACAAAGAAAAAAAAAGCCGTTTCACAATTGACGTGTCTTAAAAAAGCAATTTCACCGAAGGAACCTTGTCTTCACTGGCAGAACCTTGTCCTCACTGGTAGGAAACTTGTCCTCAGCGTTAGGAACCTTCTCCTCACCGCCAGGAACCTTGTCATCATCGCCAGGAACCTTGTCCTCACCGCCAGGAACCTTGTCCTCCCTGGCCGGACCCTTGTCCTCAGCGTCAGGAACCTTGTCCTCAGCGTCAGGAATTTTTTCACAGCCAGAAACCTTGTCCTTACCGCCAGGAACCTTGTCCCCACCGCCAGGAACCTTTTCCTCACCGCCAGGAACCTTGCCGTAACCGCCAGGAACCTTGTCCCCACCCCCAGCAACCTTGTCCTCACCGTCAGGGTCCTTGTCCTCACCGCCAGGAACCTTGTTCTCATCGGCGAGAACCTTGTCCTCACCGGAAGGAACCTTGCCCTCACCGGCAGGAGCCTTGTCCCCACCGCCAGGAACCTTGTCCTCACCACCGGGAACCTTGTCCTCACAGCCAGGAACCTTGTCCTCACCGCCAGGAACCTTGTCCTCACTGGCAGGAACATTCTTCTCACCGGTAGGAACCTTCTCCTCTGCGTCAGGAACTTTTTTCACAGCCAGAAACCGTGTCCTCACCGCCAGAAACCTTGTCCTCACCGCCAGGAACCATGTCCTCACCGCTAGGAACCTGGTCCTCAGCGTCAGGAACCTTCTCCTCAGCGTCAGGGAGCTTGTTCTAACCACCAGGAACCTTCTTGTCACCGCCAGAAACCTTGCCGTCACCGTCGGGAACCTCGTCCTCACCGCCAGGAACCTTGTCATAACGGCCAGGAACATTTTCCTCTCCGCCAGCAACCTTGTCCTTACCGCCAGGAACCTTGTCCTCACCGCCAGAAACCTTGTCCTCACCGCCACGAACATTGTCCTCACCGCCAGGAACCTTGTCTTCACCACCAGGAACCTTGTTGTCACCGCCAGGACCTTTGTCGTCACCGCCAGGAACCTTGCCGTAACCGCCAGGATTCTTGTCCTCACCGCCAGGAACCTTGTCCTCACCGCCAGG